CGTCCGTTGCCTTTTTAGTTTGCCTTTTCATAATTTAAATGATTTCAGTTTTTCAGATTAAAGGAGACATTTCTTAAGTTCAGAGTTTTTCTTTATTTTACCATTTTCTCATTGTTGTCTTTATTTTTGACATAATTTTTAAGCTAGAAAATTGTTTTTTTTGTAAAAATACATCCAAGTAATTCAACTGTTTATTTTCAACTTTATCCCAGCTCCCGTCCTCGATGACTCCACTGTGTCCCAGTTGTGTGAAATGGGATTTCCACTGGAAGCCTGCAGGAAAGCAGTCTACTACACCGGGAACACTGGAATTGATTCTGCCATGAATTGGATCATGAGCCACATGGATGATCCTGGTGTGCAGAACCTTAACAATTACAAGGCATCATTTCAAGTGGGCACTTTAATTCGTCTATGTTCATGTTTCTGTCTCCTTTTTGGCTACAGACTTTTCGGCGCCCTTGGTGCTGCCTGGCAGTAGTTCTGGACCCGGAACCACTCCCACAGAGAGCCTCTCGGAGGAGCACCTTGCAACTATTGTCTCCATGGGCTTCAGTCGAGATCAGGCAACCAAAGCACTCAGAGCAACGGTGAGAATCACACTGTCCATTTAACAAAAACAGGACATTAACCAAACTTTTAGTTTTCACTTTCTTGTAAATTTCTGTAATTTCTTGTTTATTGAGCTTTCTATGTATATTTTGATTTGCTGCTGTTTCACTCATTTTCCCAGCCCAACATTCCTGACTAGTTTTAATTATCCTTAATTTTGCATTGAAGTCATAAATGAGAACAAAATGTTTTATCCCTCGTCTGACCTGGTGATTTTGAAATTTCTATTTTTATTCCTACCTAAGGACTAAAATCCTTAAAAGTAAAGAGATGGTGTAAGTTTTCTGTCTAAGGTAGAAGATTGGAATAAATTAGAAGATGTTGTTACAAGGTCATGTATATTTATGTATATTTATGTATAAAAATATATGTCCATAATTTTAAAGGAATGTTATTGCTTAGAAGAAGAAGTGAGTTGGTTGATGACTTAAGTCTAATAATTGACCAGGGCTGATTAGTGAGCTTAAAAGTTTACATACCCTTCCTTTAAAGACAGAAAAGTATCAGCTACCAGTAAAATTAATAGAAAATTACAAAATAATAAATAATAATCCTAAAAAGGAATGATTCTGGAAATATACAAATTTTTATTGTATCATTTTCTGGAATTTGAAAAAAAATGTTAAAGGGGAAAAATGGTTTAGGCAAGCCAAACCAAAAGGATTGTCTTTTATCCTCAGGCAGTCAATGGTCTGCAGGTTAGACTAACAAATGTGTATGAAGTTTTTGCAGAAATGTGGGCTTTTAAAAAATCTATCTCGATATTTACTTATCAGAAAATCAACAGTTGGTGTTTATGATCCAAATCTTTTCTCACACATCGGATTCCTCTTCTTTTACAGAGTAATGTCCTGGACCGTGCAGTAGACTGGATCTTCTCTCACCTAGATGACCTGGAATCCATGGACGTGTCTGAAGGTGGTCGCTCAGCTGCAGAGAGCGAGGGGGGTAGGGATCCTCCACCAGGACCCCGAGTTAGAGACGGACCAGGAAGTAAGTGTATGAGAGGGAGGCTGTCAGAATAAGCCATGATTTCAAGGGCTGCCGCATTAAGCTATCTATTTAATTCTAACAGCTTAATATCTGTTTCTTCCTGTTTAGAGTACGAGTTGTTTGCCTTCATCAGTCACATGGGGACAAGCACTATGTGTGGCCACTATGTCTGTCACATCAAGAAAGACCAACAGTAAGTTTGTTTTCTGTGTCTAGCTCTAAAGGTTTGGTGCCCAGTAGTAAAACAAAAAGCCCATTGGTTATACAGAGGAATGAGGTGTGCAAAATGAATTACTTTCAGTGCAGCAAAGTCTCTAAAGAAATACAATGAGGATCTCTGAATGATCCAGTGTTGATCTAAATGACTGATGATAGATAGATTCTACCTGTGTGTAATCACACACAGGTCTGTTTAAAACATAAGAGAACATCATGAAGAACAAGGAACACAGGAAGGATTTGAATACAAAAAGTTTTCCCAAGCTTTAAACATCCCAAGTAGCTCTCTGCAAGCGATAATATTGAAATAGGAGTATCAGACCACTGCAAATCTACAAAGACCCAGCCCTCCCTCTAAACCTTCAGCTCAAACCAGGAGAAAAATGACAGAGATGCAGCAAAAAGCACAGTGAACCCTCTGGATGAACTGCAGAGATCTACAGCTGAGGTGGGAGACTGTCCATTGGACAACAATCAGTCGTATACTGCATAAATCTGGGCTTTACGGAAAAAGGCCGTTTATGAAAGATATCTTTAAAATGTCTTGTTTAAGATTGTAACAAGCCCCCTTGGAGAAACGGCAAACATGTGGAAGAAGTTGCTTTGGTTAGGTGAAACCGAAATTAAACTTTTTGGCAACCAGCAGAATGTTATGTTTGGCGTAAAAACAATACAGCTTATAACCCTGAACACACCATTCCCACTGTCAAACATGGTGGTAGCAGCATCATCTTCGGTGTGGGTCTGCTTTTCATCCGGTGGGACAGGGAAGATGGTTACAATTGATCTGAAGATGAATGGAGCCAAATAAAGGACCATTCTGGAAGGAATGCTGTTGGAGTCTGCAAAAGACCCAGGTCCTTTTTAAAAAGCAGTTTTTAGATAAGTTTTCTAAACCTGGAATAAGGGAAGCTGAGTTTTCTGTTTCACAAAGACAACCTCTGGGTCTGTTAGACAGATTAGGTTTTAAAATGTGAGGATCTTATTAAAGAATGATCTGCATCATGTGAAAATGATCATGTGATCATTTTCACACAACATCTGCATGTGTAAAGTTCCACATTTTCTGAATGTGCAACTTTCACATTCAGAAAATTATATTGAGGACTACTGTTTCACCTAACAAACATCATATACATCTACATCCTTATCCGTCCTCACATTTGCAGCATTACACAAACTTATTTTACAGAGAGAACATTGGTGTTTGTGAAAACAACATTATAGAAAATAAAACTAGTAGGTTTGTTATCGCTGATAATATGCAGTTCATCATTAATAACCAGCTCCTCGTCCAATCTAACATCCAGGTTAGAATGGCCAGGTCAAAGTCCAGACCTGAATCTAATCAAGAATCTGTAGAAAGAACTGAAAGCTGCTGTTTAAACTTTTTTACATCCAACCTCACTGAGCTCAGGCTGTTTTCCAAGGAAGAATGGGCAAAAAATTCAGTCTTTTGATGTGCAAACTGATGGAGACGTATCCCAAGCGACCTGCAGCTGTAATTACAGCAAAAGGTGCTGCTGCAAAGTAATTACTCAAAAGGTCTGAATCATTTTGCACACCCAATTTTTCATTTTTTTAAAAGTTAAAAATATCCATTAAATTTTGTTTCACTTCCTGATTGTGTCGAACTTGTTCTAAATGCAAAAGCTGTACAGGACGGATACAATTCTTTCATTGGGCTGATATCCTTTATTATTTGTTAATTTTTTCCTTGTTTCTAGTAACCGTAAGCCTAAGTAATTTCAACAACTATACACACTTAAAATCTTTCTGTGTAGCATAATACTTTTTTATGCATCAGTGCTAAACTTTCTGTTTCATTAATATTTAATCTTATCATTGTAGCCGAGTAAACAGCACTAGTTAGGTTTGTCAGTCCTGTAAATGTTATGTTTGCCCAGTAGGGGGCGCCATATTTCACAGAATCTCACACCATCTCTTCCTCCTGAAAGAATGTGAAAATATTTTGTTTTCAAAATGAGCACCGCTCACATATACTTAAACTGTTAACATTTGTTGTTCTATTTACTTCAATAAACATTTGCTGATGTTTAATTTTTCTTAATGATTTGTTTGGTGATAAGCTAATTTGAAAGCGTGTCGAACTTTTTTCTTTAACAGATGGGTCATCTTCAACGATCAGAAAGTTTGTGCTTCAGAGAAACCTCCCAAAGACCTGGGCTACCTTTATTTCTACCGTCGAGTGGCCGACTGAGGCTAACAAGTGTTTCACTTCAGGAGTAGAAGACTGCAACCACACACAACAGCAAGCTCTTACAAATGCTTTGGCACACTTCACAACTGACAAACATGTAAATAAAGAAGTCTCAGATTGCTTATAAACACAGTTAAATAAATTGGTGCAAATGTACAGATAAGTGTTATTCGGAGAGGGTGTTGCTGTTTTTCTGTATCCACTGATAACAAAACCCAGGCGTGTTTTGAACATAGACTCCGGTTTTTACCAGAGTAACTTTGAGTCAATGCAAGAACTAATCGAGACCTGTTAAAGCATTTATTCCGGGATTTACTCATACAAAATATTCATATCTTTCAGAAAACAAGCTTGACGGAACAAACTCCTCAAGCGTGTGACTGACTCGGACTGCTGAGCTCATGATTGACAAGTTTACGCAAATGCTAATCTGTCCCGACTATTGATTTCCACTGCCTTCAGTAGTCACTGCCCGTAAACAATTAAATATGTCGCTTTCAGACCCAATTTCTTGTTTGACTGGAAAATTGCACCAATTTAGTTAGTCGGCCTCCTCTACCCATTTATTAAATGATAAAAACACAAGAAAAAAAAACAGTAAAACACCAAATCAACATATTTTCCTTAAGCATTAGGTGAGGGTGTTCTTATTTTGAAAACAAAAGCTTTGTTATTTCTGCTGTGGAAAATAAAGATTTCTGTCAACCTCGACCTTGGTTCATTTTTACTTTTTTTCAGTAACAAAAATGTCATTTTACTTTACTTTTTTCCTGTTTTACAGCCCTTTTTATCACCAAATAAATATAGAAACATATTAAAGTGAGAAACAAAGCATAGTTTTTTTCTGAGTTCCTTGAGAACTGTTTAAAAAAAAAGATGCCAGGCCTCGATTGCAAGAAAAAACAGGCGTAAGTAGCAAACCCACAAGAGGTGGAGGTTTAGATTGGCCTACAACTTTCCAAGTGTGGCTTTCTTTTCAGAGCTCTTCCGCCTTATACGCTCTTTGCATCATTGCACATTTGTTTCGATGAGCTGAATTTCTGGGAGGATAAAGAGGTTCTTACCCTGAACAACTGCATTAAAGACGAAACGCCAAACTTTGAATTAAGGTGAGATGTGATGAGAATTTTTTTATTTTCCTGCTTTAAAAAAAATACTAAACTGAATATTTTTGTGTTCATACTGTTTTATTCAGTTGCGCTTTTGAAGATAAATGGAAATGATCCCTTTTTATGTTCAGGAGTTTCTTAATTTTGTTATTGGTCAGTATAAAATGCGCTTAAATGTTTTGAGGGCTTCTGCTTTACTCGTCCATTTAGTTTTTGCTAAATCCCTAAATAATTGATGATTGTTCGTTTTTAACTCCAACTGATCAAATAATAATTTTATGCAAAGTGAAGATGATAAATTTTTTTTTTATGCTTTCAATCTCCAAAAAGTATGTCCCCATGCCCAAAAATAGTCTCTGAAGGCCTTCGAGTTATGAAATATTGAAGAACTAAGCTTAGAGCAGGGGTAAAAACTGAGAGTTTTAATGCATTTTGTTTATAGTAAAATTGTTTAAAACATACTTGGAGTTGATGGCGTTTCCGTGCCGGAAGCATGTTTTAAATGCATCTCCACTCCTTTGAAATTCTGTAAATTATCCCGTATAGTTGAGAAACAGAGCCTACCAACAATCTGGGATCAGGTCTCAGACTGCAGACAGGGAAGGTCAGCATTTTTAAGCAAGAACAGATCAGATGGGATGGCATTAAATGCAATGCAATCTCTGTTAACAGGAAGCGTTTACAGAGGAAGACATTTTGTGTAGCTGTACAAGAGCCCTTCACTGCACTGTTAGTAGATGAAGTACTAAAGAACAATGGCAATATTACACTGTGACTTAAGGAATACAGTCACATTCCTATAAAGAATATTAATATCACAAGTTTTTTAAAGAAAAGTTGAAAGAACATTGTTAAAGTAGGTCTGGTAGATTAGAGCAGGGTGTAATTAATTTAATTCAGTTTATATAGCTCCAATTCACAACACATCTCATTTCAAGGCACTTTACAGTCCACCAGATCATACGGTCAAATTGATTCAAAGTTTTATATCTAAGAAAACCAGTTGATTCATTGACCCGAATAAATCCCTCATACTAATTAGGGCCACTTGAATGAGAGGGATTACTAGTCAATGAGTCGATGCAATCAACAGGTTTTCCTTAGATAGAAAACTTTGAATCAATTTGACTGTATGATCTGGTGGAATTGCCTTTGTGAAGTGCCTTCAGATGACGTGTTGTGAATTGGTGCTATAGAAATAAACTGAGTTGATTTGAGGTGAATTTATTTTAAGGCAAAGTGTATTTATATAGGTTGATCTTTTTTCTTTTATTGTGATTATCCCACTGTGTTTCAACAAAACTTCTGCAACGCTACTTTTTAAAATTTTTTTTTTTTTTTTTTTTTAGACCATGTAGCTGAAATATTCTGCTTAGTAGGGAATGATGTCATATGATCTATTGCAGGAAAAAAAGGAACAGAAATACTTAGAAAGGAGCTTGGTAGTTAGGAATCATATCTGGAAAGGGCATTCAAACACGCATTGTGTTGAAAATTTGAAAACAGGTGTTTACTTTAACACTCTGAAATACTGCATTTTTTTCTGTGTTAAGACAACCAGCCTATAGAATGAAGACGGTCATCTTGTTTGGTCTGGGTGAGTAAATTTACTTTGACAAATATCTTCCTGAGACTCTGAATGTTTATTTGTGTCCATCTTTTCCTGTTTAGCTTTGTCTTATCAAGCCCTACTGAACTTTTCAGAGGATATCCTGGCCTTTCCAATTATGCATCATGTGATAGATTTACATGTTCAAAGCCCAGTTTTTGCCCAATTAAAATGGTTGCAGCCACAGTTTATTTGCTATTTGTACCATGGTAAATAGATATATTAATTAAAATAATACGTTCTGAAAACAGTTTGATTTCACTTTTAAAGAAATAGCCATCAGGTCAATTTTAGTGTTTTTCATAACTTCACTTCGCTGTACGAAACAGAAGTGAAACAGAAAGGATTGTGTTCATGATAGTGGGTGGAGATTTTTTACTGTCAGATGGACAGAAATATGAGGAAGAGTATCGGTGTTTTGTAGCATAGCTGTAAAAATAACAGTATACTATATTTTAAATCAGTGCAAATGGATCATAACCAATAAGGTCAATAGGCTAGTTCTCAGAATATAGGTACGACTCATGAAACAGCAGACAGAGATTAGAACTTTGCAGTTGCGAGTGCCTTGTATTTATAGTAAGGACAATTAAATACATATTTACATCAGTGAAACATTCAAATGGCCATATAAAACTCGCAAAAGAGAGGAAAAAAAAAAAAAACAATAAAGAGAAACAACAAAATTAATGAATTCCACAATTAATGAACCTACATCCCTTGAGTTCATTCACCCCAAGGCTGGGGCTCGCCATCAACACCTGGCCAATGCTGTAGTTTGTATCTTACACAAACAGGTGTTTTTCCATCTCATCTCAGCTAAGTATTTAGCTCCTGCATCTCTGCTTCTCCCAACATCTCCTAATCTTTCATACTTCCCCACTCCAACTAGTATACCTGTGGTACATGTGACCCTGATACTCAACAGCAATTGGCTGTGTAGTAATGAGGGGATGGAAGTAAAAAAAAATACACAGATTTGATCACTGGGATCTTGCTCCATTTTCTATATATGTAACAGGAAATCACTGGGATTTACACCCGGGTTATAGTTTGGTCGATGAAGATGATAAAGCAGAAGAGGATGTAAGTGTAGAATAGGATGAAGGGACATACTTTGAGAGGAAGCAGGAACTTTGATACATTCTGTGGGTCAGGTCCTATCTGTATGATTTCTTCATCTCTAAATAGATGTGTTGAAATCAACAGTCACTCATACCAATGATTTTGTGTTTATTGGAGGAGTGGCGATGTTAGAGGTTATCCCAAAGAGTTTAGGGCATAGAGCTTGCAATCCTGCGGCCCTGGGTCTGTCCCCACTCCCACAGACTGCCATTCTGGGTCCCTGAGCAAGACCCTTAACCCCCGGTTGCTCCCCGTGTGCCCCACGATGGCAGCCTACTGCTCCCCAAGGGGATAGGTCAAATGCAGAGGTTCATTTCTCCAATGTGAGATCAATGAAGTTCAATTATTATTTTTTCTATAAACATAAAATGAAACCTGTTTTCTTAGCTTCCTGTTTATCAAGATTATCCTAAAGCCTGAATTCGGAATCCATTTCAATACTATTGACTGTATATTGATGAAAATAAATCTAAAATTTTTTAACTTTTACAAACCAGAGACTGCTACAAACATCAGGAGTGTCACTTAATACTATTAGAAAGGAAATCAAGATTTTCCTGGAAAATCACATAGCAAGTCTTGGCTAACCCAAGGTCAAAATGTTCTGAGCTAAAATACAAGCTAAAATAATAGAAGTGAAAACGACAAAGAATAGATTGAACAGGCTGAAAAACTCAAATTGTCACAGATTTGGATTTAACCGAAAAGAAAAAGAAGTTTGACATTCTTTGGAGAGTCAAATAATTGCTTAAAGATGTTAGGCAAGGTTGTCTCACCCTCCCAAGCAGGGCTGGACTTTTTTTTTTGCTCACCAGCCACTGTGGCTAGTGGTTTTATAAGCTAAAACCTGCTTGGGCTTTCCCCTAGCCACAGTTTTGTTGATTGCAAAAGATGTCTAATAGAATTTAAATCGACTATGCTGTGCTAAAGTTTACTTAAACTTTCAGAAATGTAGATGACAGTAAAGCAGAAGATTTATTTTAAAAGATAAAAAATACTTGGAAAAAAATGCAAGATATTTCTCTGCATTATCAAAAAAACACGCTTCCAGGATTATCATCTTTGGTTAAGGTTGTTCTAAAATATAAAAAAAAGTAATTTCTTTTTAAAAATTCAGTTGTCCATTGCAGTTTACAATCTATAAAATGAAAATAAAAATATATGTTAACAACAATGAATGGCAAGGTGTTCATTTTGGACTAAATATATAGGAAATCATTATCATTATAAAAAAAGGAATTGGTTGATATGTTTTGGAGTCTCAGGAGGATATACAGCATTATACATTTCTTCTGAAGCTTAAAGTGTTCATGTTTGATAAACTCTTGTCCTTTTTTAACCATCCACTCTTCTCCTCAGTGCTGGGAGCGCTCTCTGCTGCAGGAAAAGTTTTCTTTGCAGAAGTTAAGACGAAGGTTACCTTAGAGTGTGGTATCATAATCCCCAAACATCCCAAAAGACTGGAGTGGTTTAAGGGGAATGAACTGATATGGAGACAGGTTAAAATGCCTACTAAAGGTTAGTCATATCAAAGTGCTCTGAAACACATTGTTGAATCTGTAATCTTTTATGAAAGAGATAATTATTCTATATTTTTTCTATATTAGGAAAAAATGATCTTGCAAACAGGTCAAAGTTAAAAAATGGAGACCTGGATATCAACTCTGTAGAGGAAATCGATGCTGGACAGTTCCGTTGTGAAGTGGATGGCCAACGTTCTCAACACTCTCTGATTGTAGTGTCAGGTAAGCATATATCCAGAAAATTAATGAACCAACAGCTGGTAGACGTGCAAAAGGTTATTCATACATTAATATATTGAAAAGATTACAATTACAAATCAACAGGATGTCAAAGGTGAATATCACAATGTCAAACTTGTTTTTTAACCACGTTAACTTAACAAGGGAAATAATTACAATCTTTGGACATTATAGCATTTTAATGCTGCTGTCACCTATGCAATGTTATTAATTGATTGTAATTTTGGTATAAGTTGCATTATTCTAAAATCATAAAGTCACTGTTAATGTTCACATTATATAATTTCCTAAAACTATTGGGCCAAAATGAACAAAATTCTGCCCACCTTTGGTCTATTCAGACCCAATCACACATGTGGTAATTTTAAATCGATAGAGAAAAAGCATGAACACAAAAAAAACTTTTTTTCAAATAAGTCTCATCTTTTGCCACCCAAGTAGAGTTTCATGAAAAGAAAAAAAAAACAATCCTGACAACAGTAAAAAAAAAAAAAAAAAAAAAGTGTTGTAACTATAGAAACTTCAAACAAGTTGCAGTAAAAATGTGCCTGACTGCTCAGGTTAAAAATCCAGTGTTATCTTATAATATGATCTAATTAAATATAGTTATACATTTAAGAGATGTATTAGCAGAATGTGACTTTTATCCCTAGATGGTGATGCAATAGTTAATTCTGCATTTGGCGTGGCGTTTTAAGAATCACACTCAATCTACAGGCACTTCTAGATGCACCATATATCATCTCATCCAGAATAATATTAATATTAACGGTTAGAGCAGTACGCTTTTGGTCTGAGAAGGTTGCAAGTACCCGGTTCGATCCCCACAGCCTCTACTCTGGGTCCCTGAGAAAGACCCTTAACCCCACACTGCTCCCCGGACACCGCACACTGGCAGCCCACTGCTCCCCAAGGGGATGGGTTAAATGCAGAGGTGAATTTCCCCAGACTGAGATCAATAAAGTTCCATTATTATTATTGTTAAATGTGTTTTTTTAACATTTATTTATATATGGACCAAAAAGGAAATGGTGTATCAACAGCTTCTCTGTTTTTCTTATTTAATTCTCACTGTATCTCCTTTATTTTTTCTTATCTCTGTACCAGTTTCGGTCGATCCCTCTGGCACTCTCCTGTTTGGCACAAGAGCTACCTTGGAGTGTCTGGTTAAGGAGGACCCTGGGACCACTGCTAGTGTCCAATGGCGTAAACCCGATGGTTTGGTCCACCCCAATGGAAAAGTTGTTCTAAAATCTGTTGCTTTATCAGATAAAGGGACCTGGCAGTGCAAAGTGTCTTTAAATGGGAAGACTTTTGAGAAAAATGTAACCATTAACGTTAACGGTAGGATGCCACCTTTAAATTATTAAGCTGGATTTAACATTTTCTTCACATCAAAATAAATCTCTATCCAATAAAGAAAATAATGTTGTGTTATATTTGTTTCTAGTACCTAGACCTACAACTCCTGCAGCAAATGGAAATCAAAATTCCCCAGATTCAAAGAATGGGGGGGATTCAAGTTGTAAGGGCTTTGCTTATTACTTATTCAACCCTTTCTATTTTTTAAATTCAAACTGTAGTCTGACGTCTTTGTTTGACCAGGCGTGGGCTGTGATGAGCCTGGAGACCAGCCTCATCTGCTGGGCCTCATATGGTGGGTTTGGGTCGCAATTGGAGCTGGAAGCCTTGTTGTTATCATCCTGATCATCGTGGTGGTCGTCATGTACAAGAGGAACAAGAGAAGAAAGGTAAACATCCAGAATCAGTTCAACACTTTCTTTTTTTTTCAGGCAGGTGAAATAAAGGCAATAAAAGATAAATCTCTATTTTTTCTAATTTGTATAGAGAAAATTTCTAAGGATGAAGAAGGCCCAACTCTCACAGAATCCCAAGGAGTACTGCCAGTGTGTTCGGTAAATGTCTATCTTTGAATACATCCCCCTACCCCTGTCTCCATTAATCTCCTTCTGCTTTTCTAATAGACTTCTTATTTTATACTAAATGACCTTCGCTTTTCTCCTTTCCTTTTACCGAGCGCTTCATTATTGTGCCGTAATTAGTGTGAAAACTTCTCTTTACTCTCTTTATCACAGCCAAACAGCTGCACCAAAGCCGCAGCAAGGACGCCGGAGAGAGAAGCCGTCAGCTCTGTCGCTTCAACCTCTGCTTAAGGACTGACATGAAAGAGGGAGGAAGGAGAGATAGAGAGAAGGAGGGAGGGGAGATGGAGATAAAGAGAGGAGAACAGAGAGTGAATGTGCTTTGAATGTGAATGAGCATCTAAATGAAAAATATAATCAAATGTAACGCTGTCAGCACTTTGAGCTTTTTCAGCAAATACTGTATAGGCAATGATCTTTCTAAACATCCTGTGCTGTCTTCATGTTTTTTTTTTTTTAAAACCTCCATCTTTATCCCTCTTTACCCAGCCCTGACGCAGTCTTGCTTGTTTCTGTTTCTAAAACCTGAAGCATCGAAGTTCAAACATCAGAGTTTAAGAAGCTCCAACTCCTCCATGCTCATCCGCTTCGTTTTTTTCATTTGCAATGTGTGTTAGTCTAGTATGTAAAAGTGATATCCCCTTCTGTTTTTGCTGTAAATAAACACATTAAAGTTTTGATTCAACCTATGTTTATTTTCTTTAATTTCCAATCAATAAATCTGGTGGATATCCAGATGATTCACTTTTTTTATCCTTGCAGCTCAACCAGGACTCCCTTACCAGGCAGATAAAATCACAATATCACACATCAGTACACACGACACAGCCAGCTGATTGCACACTGTTTTGTGTGTCTAGTCAGTGTGTTGATGCATGAAAGTTATGTAGCAGTTTAATCAATGGGAAACGGCCAGGGAGCTGTATGCTAAAGACATATTTATTGTATCGCACAAAACTAATAACAGACAGCCATAAATACTTGAAGCACTGGCAACAAATGTGAGTAAAAATTTCCACTTTTTAAGCCTGTGTCGTAATTTTTTTGTGTCACAAGCACTGCCATTAGTTTCTTGCAGAGGTTGTTTCTCGTTGAAAAGTTGGGAGGCTAAAGCTTCTCTGTAAATTTCATAAAATATGCATTGTCAAACTTCTTAAATGTAGTCATTAAATTGCATTACATATGTGCTAAAATGCATCTAATTTCATGAGTATGTTGGACATTAATCAGCTGTTTATTCTGCTCTGGAGCAGCAGGACGCTGCCTCTCACTCTCTATAAGAAATCCTTGATCGGGTTTAAGCCTCGGCCTATTAAGTTAGCAGCAGGGAAGTAGAGCCCTGATTGGATAAGAAGCCAAAATACATAATTTCCATTGAGGCTCAGCCTCTAAGGGGGTCTTTGGAGCAGGGGCGGGTCGTGAAGCTGGCTGCTCGATGCTGATTGGTAAACATACTTGAAGATTTTTGACAGAAGGTGACCAGATAGTGAGGAGGTTTTCCTCATGAGTCAAAAGGGAAAAGTGATCATTCAGTCAGAGCAGTCATCTTGAGTCGAACTCTTGCTAGGGTTTCTGGAATTTAATATTTCAGTGTGCTTTATGTGTTTCAACATTTAATAATGCAATACGTGATGTTTGGATTTAATTAACACTATTCAGCCTCTCCTTTTTTAGCATCCGTCACTGATCCCTTGGACGTAGAGTTCATCAGAGCTTCGCTGGCTGCTCCTCTACCTAGTGTTTTTGGATCCCTCACAGGGGCCTGAATTGGGTTTAAGTATAGGGACATGATTTTCCTCTAGTTTCCTTAGCAGGACACAATGTTCCTGTCCTTTTTTGTTCTGGAACATTGAGTTAAAATCCTTTCCTGCTGCAGTTTCTGAACAACATTCTCACAATACATGTTGATAATTCTTGTTCCCGTGATGAACTGTAGCTCCCCACAGACAGAAGCACTGTGCAGCCTGAAGCATAGCACTCTAACCACCACGCTTGACTGTAGGCAAGACACAATTCTTTTTGTACTCCTTTGCTAATAGCCACCACTCCAGCTGACACCATCTGCTTCATCTTTAGAATAGGCTTCCTTCTAGGATAACAGCCATCCTGATCAATACCATACTCTTTGTTTGTGGGCGGGGCATGGACAGAGCATCTACAGACAGAATCTCCACCCCTTCAACCTCTGCAGCAATGCTGGATCCACTCATATGTCTATTTTCAAAAGGCAACCTCTAAACATGATGCTGAGGATGTGCACTCTGCGTCTCCGTTCCACCATATTCTGAGTGGAAGCTGCCTTTTCAAACCGCTGTATGCTCCCAGCGCTACAGTTCACTCTTGTATAGCTTAAGTCGTCTTTATGCAGAACAACAACTCTTTTCTTTAGATCTGTAGAGAGTTTTTTGCCATGAGATGCCATGTTGAGTTTTAAGCATGATAGAATGAGAGCAATATCACTTCTATCATTATCTTCATTTGAAGGGAATAAAAATTCATGTTGTTGTACAACCTGTACACAGCATACTCTAGAATTTACTCATATCTGTTGTGGTCAGCCATGAAAAAATATATAGTATATTGCTTTAAAGTATTCCACAATTAAAACACATTGAATGTGAAAGATTTTGGAATAAAATGTTACATGAGATCCTTTTTTGGAGCTTCAAACAATAATGTAACTCTCTTTGAGAAAGAAGCTGTAAACTGGGCTTGTATTGGTTACAGAGTTCTGAAATTCCCACAACTGGTGCATTACGACACAGGTGTTGACCCCAGTGCAACTCTACATGCAATAAAACACCTGTTAACACACACACACACACACACCAACAACAGTGACATACATACTACAGAGTGAAAAGATAATATCTTTCACAAAAATGCAAACCTGTTTTATTGGCAAAGGAGTTTCTTACAGCTTTTATTTCCTTTCTAAATTTTGTTTAATCCTAATTTAGTCCTAATCTAGTGATCCATTTTTCTCATAACAGTAAGGAGAGGATCATAGAGATGTCTGACTTCCTGTGTGTGTGTAACTGTGTATGAACGAGACGGTGTCACAGCGTAGAAGCTGCCAAATGTCAAAGCTGAACTCATTGCTGTACTGAGAACATCACAAGTGAGTAACTCCCAAATATTCTCTCCTCACTTAAAACTTTATTACCAGACAATAGACAATATAAACATGTATTTTATTTATGCTGCTGGACGAGATAAAAGTCAGGGAAATATGAAAGATTTAAGATACCTCTACGAACAAGAGTAGCAGACGCGACCAGTGATCAGCTCCTACAGCAAAGCAGTTAGTTTAAATATTTCAGTCTGTTGTAACCTAAGCCTTATTTTATTGTCTAATTCATGTATTTATGCATCAATTGTTTTGTTTAGAGACAGACTTTGTTGTTATTAATCTAAAAAAATAACTCCATAATACAAATAGGAAGAAGAAACATAAAGAAGCAGTTAACAGTTTGCGTTTATTATCATTACCTGATTAAGGAAATAAAATAATTCACAGGTTTGATAAGTTATTTCTGATTATTACTGGACTTTACAGCTTAAGTCTATAACACCAATTTTAACAATGCTTCCCTGAAATTTAATTTCCGAGTATCTCTATATTGTTAAGCTAACATTTACCCAAGAAGCTCTTCAAAATGTCAAATCCTACATGCCAAAAATAGACAAACCTACTCGTCTTTACATTAAAAGATCAGAACTTATGCAATGGCTGCTGGAACGTGAATATTTTGCAATCGTTGGTTTAAAAAGAAGATGCTAAATGTGTGCTAATCCTCCTCCAACATACCATATATGAAGGTATACATGTTATGCATATTTGATTTTTTTTTTTTTAAGTACAGTGGTTCAGGAGGAAGATGCTGATAAATATGATTTTAGTTTTTTTTAGGTTTAGCTGTTGCTAATATGAAGCCTGACTACTGTAATAAATGGAAATGTTTTTAATATTTCAAATAAGAAAAAGTTTATTTTAATTTGTTAAACATATTAAATGAAAACTAACTCCAGATCTGAGAAGCACATTTACTGAAGCAGACAGCAGAATATTCTTGTATTTCTCGGATGAGCAATGAGTTATAACTGATATTATTATCCTAATGATATTCTTGACAAAGCGTGCCCATAATGCCTCCCCTTGGCTCCATGTGCGAAAGCAATAAGATCAGACATTTATTATACAAGGCTTAATTTGGGTAATTTATGACACTAATAGGGTCCTTTGGTTCACAGAGAAAATTAACAAGTTACTGTTTGGGTTTTATCGTAAAACGCTGGATGTTTGGAGCTTTTCTGTCTGACTGCTGGGAAGATTTAATAAGAATAAATTTGATATGCACAAAGTCAATGTTTTCAGTGGAGAGAAAGCATCGATGCAGGGCTGAGACCAGAAGTTTGATGTGAAAAACACCTTAAACTTTAGTTTACGTGTTAACGACAGGCTAACATAAAACATATTTTAGCTTTTATCCAATCTGACAAAAATTATTTAAACGAAACCTGGTTACAGCATCAAAATACAAGCTTTCCTATCAAAAGTAATCTTTTAATATGCATTTTTCTCCATTATTTTGTATTTTAATGGTTTTCAGCAATGTATTTTAAAATTGAAAGCTACAGAAATGGAACCATACTTGTTTAGCTCCAGAGCTTTAAAACGAAGCATGTTTTTAAGTTAAAGTGCAAAAATAAATTAGAAAACATTGATCAATTCCTCCCATATATTATTGATTAAGAAGACTAGTTATATCAGAACAGAATATAAAATGCCTTTATTTCCCACAATGGGCACTCCGGTGTTTACAGCAGCAAAACAATTATAGAAAAAAATGGTCACACAAATATGGACATTAGAAAAGTGTATAAAAATGACATAATAGTGAAGAATTAAAAGATAAATAATAAAATATTTTACTGTAAAGTGTTTTAACATTATAAGAACTGTGTACCTGGAGAATAAATAACTGATATACAGTTATTGATACAGCTAATAATCACACTCCCACAAAAATATTTAGAGAGAGGAGGACCGGGATGGTAAAAATAGACTTTCCTGTATTGATGACGTTTTGGATAACTTCTGGTAATATAAATGCAACGTTAACAGTTGTTGTTTGATACCTAAAAAAAAATACACTGGATTTTTTTTTTTTTACTCTTACCTCTTGGGTTTTGTGGCTGTTGGCTGGAGCTTCTAATTAAAAATATAAAACTTATGTGTGAAATATTGACCAATTTTTGCTTTATTTTCTCCAATTTGATGTGGTGTGGAAAACATTCCTGAACACAAAAAGATAATTATGAGAGGTGAAATAGTACCAAAATAACATGTCTTGTTGTGACATTTTCAACCAAGAGAAACTTCTTCTTTCCTTTCTGTTATATAGATAAAATGTAGTAATTGTCTTTATTCCTGCTCTACAACTGATGCAAAGACAGTGATCTTTAGAGGTACTGCTGGAATTCTATCCCACAAAATATTCAGTATACTGTTTAAACTGGATCATCCAGCTTCGATTAACAACATTAATGATTTTGTGATAAAACAAATCAAGTTTTACCACATATAATCAACTTCAAATGTGTTTTGTCTTCTTGCAATTAATAAACTAAAACTACCTGCTGATGATCTATTACCATGGTAAACAAATCAAACATATACAAGGAAAACAAAGACAGGTTTTCACCACATTCTTTCCATAGTAGTTGCGTCAATAAGCTGTAGTTTCTCCCTTTGCTTTCTCCTCTCTTTGAATAATCACTCAGATTCTCAGATTATATTAAGACAACATTTATTTTCCAACACTGAGAGCATAAATCCTCTATCGTAGAGTTTGCTTGATTATAATTTCATAGATTAGGTTCTCAGTGTCTTGTTCTGCCCTTCTGCTCCGCTTGTCATGACTGTTGGATAAGATCTGGACATAAAAAATATGCTTATTTATCTTCTTCAAATAAATAAATTATTATCAAGAAACCTAATTTAGTGATAAATAGGCTTATTGTGAAAACTTTAACTTTACTATAATTAAAAAGAAAACACTAGATCCAATTGGAAAAGTAAAATTTTTACTTGTGCTCATGTGAGAATTGAGGAAACAAAATTTTTTATCATTTTTGTAAAATCATAATAAATCAGTGTGTGTTTTTTTTTTTTTAGCTTTGTGGAGCTAAGCTAATTGGGGATACTTTGTTTCCCGACATTCAGGCTTTATTTAAGTTGTTTTAGAAATCTTTAGAAATCATGAAATATCTTCAGTGGTGACCCGTACGGACTACAAATGGGTCAGGTTTAACGCTGTAAAGATAGACAGGATTAAAAAAATAATAATTTTACACAATGTACCACATTATCGCCTCCATTATGGAAGGAAATATATATGTTGCAAAATGGAGAAGAATATTCTAACAGCGTAAAAAGAATGAGGCTTTGACTAATCTGCTTGAAAAAATACATTTCTGCTTTCCTCCATGGGGCCTTTGATCAATTAGAAGCCATATAAATGCCCAGTGTTGGGTCTTATAATATAATGCAGTACTTTGGGTGAGCAATGTGAAACATTTTGGGCCCAAGTCTTGTGATACAATATTTGCTACCAGATCCTGTTTGAAGACAGAACAGCTTCACCTATCTTCATAAGACGGATAAAAAAAAAAAAAAGGTATTGATTCTTTTTAAGAGATGATGTTCAAAGGAATGCTTGTTTTCTTACGGTCGATGCGGCGTAAGAAGAGATTGTGTTTTTTGCTAGCAAAATACCTTGGGATGTTGATAGTCTGTGATAAAATGAAGATGAAGCATTTTTTGCTTTATAATTGTGACGCAGTCCTGCAGGCAGCTTTGTCCTCATGATGTCTTTAGCAGGTCTACAGCTGCCTTACTTGTTTTAGCTTCAGCCTGCTGGCTGTCTTATGTCAGTTTGTGTGTTATCTGCGTTTAGAACAAGAGGCTCCTAATTTTTCTAAAATTTTAGTGATTGCTTTGTTGCTTATCAACTTATTGCTCTTAATCCTAAAGAAAAACAGTTGTTCTTGGTAAACTCTTGGTTTTCTGCCTGATTAAAGTGACACTGCTTTGGTTATGTAGCATTTTAAAGAACAGAAAGTCATTAAATTTTTCTATTTCCTCTTACTGGAGTCTAAATCATCATTTCTGCCAACATTTGTGTCTATTGTGGAGTCTTAACGAGTGTTTTCTTCTTCTCTGCAGGCGATTACCAAGCAGAGTTTCCCTGTTATGAGAATATAACTGTCTGTTCACTGGGGGTGTTCTCATATGAGAAAATAGGATTCCCTTTTCATAGATTCATAATAACCTGCATTACTCAGTTCCCATTTTCATTGTCTTGCACAGATGAACATGCTCACACGTTCAGGCATTCAAAGCGAAACTGAAATTCATAACCTGGTGTTCATCCCTCCTTCATGTGTTTCCATTTTAAAGTTTTCTTTTCAACCAGGAGCTGAAGCAGATCCACAAATGTGATTTTGCTTGCTTTTACTCTACCCTAAAACAACCGTTGCAGGAAACCCCTGCAAAAAAATTTGTGTCACATTCACGTTTGCAGTCGAAAAGTGTTGGTATGGGAGTTTTCAGTGCAGAAAAACGACCTAACAACCTGTCAGCTGGGCCTGAGGCTGCAGGTGCAAACTGAACCTCAGGATAAAGGATTTAAAGACTTTTAAACTGTGTGTAAAAAAGATCATGCGTGAGGTGATTTCCCTCCCTGTAAACTCCCCTCATATGTAGCGGCAGGCCCACGTAGGTTTCAGATTTAAATAAACTTCAGATTGTAATCAGACTTCAGGCTTTATCTGAGCAAATCATTTCAATGAGGTTTCATCAACTGTGCTGATATTACAGCTATCTATCTCTAAACTGTGGCATGTTTGTTTTTTTAGCTTTAGTGCTTGGGTGCGATGGTTAGACTGGTCTGTTTATCCAGTATGTGTCACATGTCTGTTTCAGACCACTTGCAGGGCTGCATCTGTCACCTATGTTTACCCATAAATCATGAAAGACGTATTTTACTTCGTTATACCTTAGGTCTTCCGATGTACCTTGAATCAAGTTTTTTTTTTTTTCCAGCTTTTTAAAAT